TGTATACAGATGCAGATTGTGGAATGATTGATAGTTTATGTATCATTTTATTTATATACGTATTACAAGTTGCATAAAATACAGACAGGTTATGGACACATTATAATATTTGTAATAAAACATAATATCATGTTTTTGCCGACCAGATTGTAGAATGATTGATAGTTTATGTATCATTTTATTTATATACGTATTACAAGTTGCATAAAATACAGACAGGTTATGGACACATTATAATATTTGTAATAAAACATAATATCATGTTTTTGCCGACCAAATGTTTTGTAGCCAATAAAAAGGGAAAAAAAAAAAAACAACCATTTGGCTACTAAATTTTTTGTAGCCAAAAGAAAAACAATCATTTGGTTACTAAATGTTTTGTAACCAAAAGAAAATCAAATCTTTGGCTACTAAAAGTTTTGTAGCCAAAAGTAAGGCAAACAGTTGGCAACTAAAAATTTAGTAGCCAAAAATATCTGAGTTCAGGCGACTAAATTTTTAGTAGCCAAAAATGTGGAAGTTTAGGCGACTAAATTTTTAGTAGCCAAAAGAAATAGTATTTAGCGACTAAAATTTTAGTAGGTAACAAAGATTGACTTTAGGCGACTAAAATTTTAGTAGCCAAAACACTAGTATTTGCTTTAGGCGACAAAAAAATTTAGTAGCTAAAAATTTTTTGGTGACTAAATAATTGGCTTTTGGCGACAAATAAATTGGTCGACAAAAATATATTATTTAATTAATTTTCCAACTTATTGGCGACTAAATATTTAGTCGGCAAAGGTATACATTTGGCGACTAACTTAGCTTTTGTCGGCAATTAGATTTCCCGATTACTCTTCGTTACTAATTTTTTGATCAAAAAATTTAATCGCTAAAGACTATAAGTAATTAAAATATGACTTTTAGTGACTAAAAATTTATTCGTGAAAATTCTTGCCGTGGTAGGCCCATGAAGCAGTCAAAAACCATGAAAAATGCAATGAGAAATGGCACATAGGGATAGGGAGGAGAACAAAAAGGAAAAGAAGGAATGGATAGGAACAGGTGATAAAGCTATATGGATGGAGCATGTCAAAATTAAAGTGTGCATTTGTGTGTTGTCTCTTTCTTTGTAACTCTTTTTCCTTTTTCTCTTCACATGGAAGCGTAACTCTTCAACAATGATTACAGGTAAAAACAAGAATAGTTTGTGATTGTTTTCCAACTTCCACTTACCCCCCAATTACGCATTTACTTCACTTCTATATATATATATATAGAGAGAGAGAGAGAGAGAGAGAGAGTGCATGTGTGTGTGCTCTCTTTCTTTGTAACTCTTTTTTCTTTTTCTGCACATGGAAGTGTAACTCTTCAACCATGATTACAGGTAAAACAAGAATAGTTTGTGATTGTCCACTTACCCCCCAATTACCCATTTACTTCACTTCTATAGAGAGAGAGAGAGAGAGAGAGAGAGAGAGAGGGAGAGGGAGAGGGAATTCTTCCAGCCCACTAACTTGGAGGTGAGGATTGCAATTCCAATTCCAATCAAAAGAGAATGTCCTTTATGAACCTTAAAATGGAAAAGTCCTTCCCAACTGAGACATCAAAATTTTCCTAAAAAATGATGTGAAGTTGAGATCAAATTTTATGTTTCCAAAATTTATAGAATTTTATTTAAAAAATTATGTAGTTTAGGTTTAAATATGATGGGATTCACATTTAGAGTGAATCTAAATCACATTTCTTTTTTTTTTTTGGGATAAAATTATGAATAATAATTTTGAGTATATAATAGTGTTGACTAATTTTAGGTGTTAAATCTGGAACACAAATTATTTTTTGAAAAAAATATGATCTCATTTTACTATTTGTTTATGAGATAAAATTGGTATTCAAAAATTTTATACAAAATGATGTGTTGCATTTACATTCATTTATTGAAAATAATAAAGCCTACCACTATAGTTTATAATTGTAAAAATATTATTGTCACATCATTCTAAACAAATTTATTGTTTAAAATTTTATACATGATTTTTCTACCAAATATCACACACAAAGCAATATGGTAAAGCCAATGGTCAACTAAGGGTTTTGTATAGCATAAAGTCTATGAATCAAAAAATTTCCCACATAAGAATTGTATTTGAATGGTTGTTATTTTGATGTTTTTGTTGTAGGGCCACTTCTTAAGTGAATCTTGATCATAAATTTAAAATTTAGAATACTTTTTTGATATTTTTTGGTGGTATTGTTGTTAATGTAATGATGAACGTAAGTTCTAATACTAGGCGAATCTTGATGAGATATATAGAACTCTCTCATCAACTTGAAAATTTTTCCTCGGATTTGGATTTGGTAGCTTGCTCAAAAGCAAAGCCACTATCAGTGATTGTGTGTCACTTTTCACTCTTCACTTTGAGCTTTCCATATGCAAAAGTGCAAGTAAAATTGCATTAGATTGGTATGGTGGGCAACTATAAGAAAGTGGAATATGGGCTACCTTCTAATCAAATAAGAGTCTTATTATAAATTGGTAGTAATTTTTTTAAACTTTCTATATTAAAATTTTATAAAATAAAAGAAATATAATATTTTCATAAATAATTGAAATTCCTTAACATATTTTCACAGAAAAAATTTGATATAGAGAAATTTCGCCCCTACATGGAGAAGTATAATTATAGAGAAATTCCATCGAGGAACTTTAGTTAATAAAAAAAATATAAAGTTGGAAAGGGATATTTTACTAATTTTCTCATTATAAATTTGGATAGAGATTTTAAGAAGAAAAAGAAAAAAAATTGTGAAAATTGTGTAAAATGTAATTATATTTTATTCTTATTTCACCTAATTTTTATTTTTCCTTTTGCAAATTTCTACCAAAATCTATAAACCAAATATAGTCTTATTTTTTATATAATAAAATTGGGAAATGTTTGGGGCCTCAAACGGTGAGGCTCGAATGTCTGGACTTCCTCTTTGTTTATTTATTTATTTGTTGGGTTGTGTTTTTTTTTTTTTTTGAAGGGTGGCTATGTGTAGGGGTGTGCCAAAAAATTAGACATCACGCACCAACTCAGCCTGTGTGGTTTGATAAGGTAAGTGAGTTAGGTTACATTGGTTGGATGATAAAATTGATTGATCAGTTAGACTGTTGGTTAAAATTTATTAATTCCATTTTAACCAGCAGTTTAATTGATTAGTTAATTTTATCACCCAATCAGTGTAACTCAGGTTAAATTGGTGCGAGATGTCTAAATTTTTAACACATTCTTACACATAACCATCCTTCTAAAAAAAGAAAAAAAAAAGGGGGGGAAAGGGGGTAGAGGGGGGAATAGAGAGGAATTGTCGAGGTAATCGAGCCTCGAGGTCCCTAGCATCGTGGAATAAAATTTGATATGTAATTGTGTTCTACCCAAAGTAAAATGACTATGGACGTGTTGTTTAAAGTAAAAAAAATAAAATAAGAAATTTGATATATCGAATAAAGTGTGTATTTTTTTTAAAAAAATATCAAATCTAATTGAGATACGTTGTTTATGCATTTATGCAATTTTTGCCTGAGTTAATGTAATTGAGTTTGCATCAATAATTAATTAACGTGTTTGGTTTTAATTTTCTGAAAATTATTTTTTTTTATTTTTCATTCTTTTTTTTATTTTATTTTTAGTGAATATTTTTAAAATTTTAAGTAATTTTTTTACTTTTTTAGGTGTACCTTACTTAGATTTATCTAAAAAGTAAAATATTTGTAAAAAAATATTTTAAAAAATTAATAAATACAAAAGAATATGAAAAATGTAATTTTTTTTTGTATTTTTGGTACTTAGGATTTTTTTTAAAAAAAATTCTCAAATATTATACTTTTTAACTGTGTTTATGTTAAGTGTATCTAAAAATTAAAAAAATATTTAAAAAATTCAGTGAAATTAAAAAAAATAAAAAATAAAAAGTTTTAATTTTTAAAAAAATAAATTCAAAAAACTCAAACCAAACAAGTTGAGATATTGTGATTTGTTATGACGTTAAAAAAAAAAAAAATTTCGTTAAGACGAATTTCATTTACCAAAAGTGATTAATAGAGAGGCTTTAGAAAGCTCTAATTAGCATGAATTCCACTATAATGTGATGTTTTTATCCTATTTTTTTAATTTTTTACGTCACTAAAACTGAATTTAGAGCCCAGCTCTAGAGCTCTTAATCAGTGCTCCTCATTTACAAGCGTTTGTGAGGTATTGTGATTTGTTATGCATCAATAATGAAGGCAGTCATGATGGCTATAGGTTTAAGGGAGAATTTTGTTTATTTTATAAAGTGATTTTCACTTTTTACTTTGTTTTAAACCATCTGAGTTTGTTTGGTATAATTTATTATTATTTGAGATTTGTTTATTTAGTATTTTTTTTTGTTTTTAATAAACTTTTTTAAAAAAATTAGGTTGTTAGATTCAGCTCAACAAAACGAATTAGAAAATTCAAAAAAAAAAAATACAAAAAATAGTAAACTTTTTTGACTTATTTTGGATTTTTTAATTTTGTTTTAGAATTTTTCAAAAAAAAAATTACTTTTTAAATTCATCTATGCAAGACAGACCACAAGAGTAAAGAAATTTCAAATAATTTTTTTTAAACAAAAAAAAAAACACTAAAGACAAAATAGATTTGAAAAAATATGTGGCTTATATAGAAGTTCCCTATCAGTCTAAAAGTTAATAATCAATAAACAGAACTTAAAAATATCTCTCTCCAACTTTCAAATCATCAACTTTTTTAATTTATTTAATTTATTTTCGCATATTAGCTAAGCAAAAGTTACAACAACTAGTTTGATACAAACTCAAAAAAAAAAAAAAAAAAAAAAAAAAAAAAAAAAAAAAAAAAAAAAAAAAAAATCTGTTACAAAAAAATGAAGCAACCAGGTGAGTAAATACCAAATAAAAATAAAAAAAATCCTTAGCAAAGAGTAAAAACAATCAGAAGGTAGAGTTTTATAGATCGAGAAGCTGTAGCTCCTATAATAGCAAGTCATTTTATATCTACATTTAATTTTACACTCAGTAATATTAAAAAGAGAACATTTGAGTAACACTCTATTAAAACCTTATATTAAAAGAAAAATTTGAAAAAGGAAAGAAGAAATAACCTAAACATAAATACGTAACCCAAAAAAAAAAAACCCAAAACTAGATAGTAGTAGAACACTGAATGCCAAAAACACAAGACCTTGGTCTGATAAGAGACTCTAGAGTTTGGACTACTTCGCTTGAGCATGGTCTAGCCGTTGGATCGCTGGCAGTGCAGTGAAGAGCTAAATTCATGGTCTCCACAATCTCATTCGGGTTATTCGATGCGTGTTCCCTGATCGTTGGATCAACCCACGTGTCAAGATGACAGTCGGAGTAGCAGTAACGAGCCCATTCGACGATGGTCTCGTGCACGCCGAATTCGGGGTCAGCAGGGCTCTTTCCAATCAGTAGTTGGATCAAGATGAGGCCAAATCCATAGATATCAGTCTTGTGAGTGATGTGCTTGGTTTCTCTAGTTTCTGCATGAAAAGTGGCTAAACACACTTTAGCCCTACAATGTATAAACGTGCATAATACCAAGATACATGCTAATATGCTATTGCCAATTGTAGCATATTTTATCACACAACTTATAAGTTAAAAAGGATACACTTGTAATGTAAGGCCATGTTTGTTTGAGTGGATATGAACTTGGGATTGGACTAATAGTCCAATAAAATTATTAATCCAATGTTTGGTTAAACAATTGAAGTAGGGAATAATTATTTTAAACTTGATTATTAGTTAAGATAGGATATATAATCCAACGAATTCGTAATCTTAGGACTATTAGTCATGGGAATGCTAATCCAGTCCGCCCAAACAAACATGGCCTAAATGTTTGTTTAGAGATTCTCTATTTCTAAAATTTTTGTTGCTCCATCTATAATGCATGAGTAATGCTATGAATCATGAAAAAAATATCATGAAAATGATCATGAAAGATTCTTTACCGTTAGATTATATATACAATAAAACACCACACACTAATCAAAAGATAAAAAATCTTCATAAAATATTTCATGATATTTTTTTCATAATTTCTAATATTATTCGTAATGCATTTCTAACAACAAGATATTGTATGAATCTTAAAATTGAGAATCTCAAGAAATGATTGTGCAGATGAAAATGTAGTGAAAAAGGGAAATTATTTTGTAGATAAAGAATTCACTTCAAAAATGCATAGGTCAATACCAAAAAAATGGCAAAATTGTTGTGGGAAAACAATGAAAATTGGCTGACACCTCCATGATTGTGGTTCAAATTAGCAACTTATACCTAGATGGGCTACAAGATTAAATTCAACCAAAATGAAACTAAATTTTTTTTTTTTTGGATCCTAAAATAAATTCCTTTACCACTGCACTATTATTATTATTATTATCATTATTATTATTTTATCGGTGAAAGTCAATTTTTATTAATTATTAAATTAGCACTTATAGGAATTAGCCTTTTTACTTTTCAAAGTACTAAGTATTTGCTTTCTAAAGGGAGTTAGAAATCATGAGTCATTATTTATTACTATTTTTTTTTGGTGGAATGCGAACTGTACATTCAAGGGTAAGAGTTGAATGTTTGGGTAAGATCTGTAGATTCTGTACCATTGAAGTTTCATAGATTTGATCATAAATTCAATCAGTGTAAGAGTTTTAATTTGGTTGCTGGGTTTGCTGAGTTTGGTTGTACATAACATGTCTAGCGTTTATAAGTGTTGAATTTGGGTGTACAGACACAAGCTCGAAAAAAAATAAATAAATAAAAAGGGGTCTAGCTGGGTGTGTGGGGTCTGTTGTGACCCATATCCGACCCGCTCATATTCAACCCACTACTTAAATGGGCGATTTTGGACTAACACTCTTTTGATTATTTACCCGCTTAAATCAATTTAAATCTGCCCAAATCAAATCATTTGTCATATCTATCCGTGACTTGTTTTCGTAGGATTAAACCTCTAGAAGAGTCATGGTGTCCAACTAGAGTAGGCTTAATTAGTTACTACTATACTATTTGTGCCAAATAATTAAACCAATTTTTATTACCCCACTATATTTTCTGTGTAAATTCATAGAAATTCTACCATACCATAGGGTCAATCAAATGCAACACTAATAGGGAGGACGGAGGATACCCAGTAAGTTTGGTGCATGAGTAGCGATATACCCCCCAAAAAAATAACAATAAATAAATAAATAAATCAAACATAATAATATGACATGTTTTAATTTCATTATTTTAAAATAAAAAATCATGAAAGTGAAATCATATCATTCAAGTTTATCTATAAAATTTCTGTGAGGATAATATTTTGCTAGGCAAATTATACCGGTAGGTTTTACATTTTGTTTATACTATTTTGGTTTATAGACTTTCAATTGATTCAATTTTGTCTATTACTTTTAAATTTTTTCTCAATTTGGTCCAACAGATAACGCTGTTAATATTTTTGACGAAAAATTATCACTGAAGTGGCCAAAGGTTAACTCATGCAAATTTATAATTTTAACTCTAAAAACATGATATATGTTAGTTATATGCATATTTTTTATTAAAAATGCTAATAAATATAAACAATATAACTAAATCGTAACAAAGTCATAATTAAAACCAAACAAATTAAAACTATGAAGAACAAAATCATAGAAAGACCAAAATATATGGATTATCAACGTAATTTTGTCGTATTTTTCTTGTAAGGTACCTGGAGCAACATAGGCTGAAGAGAAGAAACACTTGGTGTCCGTACACATGATCCCCGGAATGCAGAGTCTCAGGCGAGGCTCATCTTCACCGTCGATGACAATTTTCTCCGGCAACAGGTCACCCACGAGAACAGTCGGCGAACAAAAACAGTGCAAATAACAAAGAGCTCTGGCAATTCCAATGGCAATCTTTCGCCGTCGTTCCCAATTCAATCCTCCAATAACTTCACTCAAACTTTTCCCTTCTATATACTCATACACCAAAAACCCAACTTTCTCCGACCTCACCATTGCCACGATCTTCGCGATATTGGGATGCTGAAGCTTACTCAATTCAGTCCAAAACCTGGTTGGCATGGAATTCATTTCTTTCAATTGTATGCTCTTGTTTTCATCTCTTATGGACGATAAAAAATCGTCCATTGTTGTTTCTTTTGAAATCTTGGAATCCAATAATTGTAATTCCCAAACTGATCCGTCTTCATTTTCCACCCTTTTGATCTCATGATTTTTTTGTTGTCTCGCGAAAACAATTACAAAAGTAGCAATCACAAGAATTACCAAGACGGCAACAAGAAAAGCCACAAAGAACCACCAAACTGGCGTTTGTGCGTGTTTGCATGGTGGCAAACCGGTGGTTGTTGTGTCTCCACTACAGAGATTGTTACCTGCAACTGCACTCGAGCTGATAGCGAGGAATGCTCCGGTGGAGGGTAAATAACCATGGAAGTGATTATGAGAGATGTTTACTTCAACAAGTGACTCTATTTCCCCGAGATTTTTTGGAATTTTACCGGATAATTGGTTTACCGACAAATCAAGCTCGCCTAGAACTGGCAATTTGGAGAGACTCGAAGGAATTGAGCCACTGAGCTGATTGTGACTCAAGTTTAGGCTCACAAGCTTCTTACATGAGGATAATTCTTCAGGAATGTTACCCGACAGCTTGTTCTCACTCATCTTCAATTGTATTAGCTCCGATAAGTTCCCAAAACTCACCGGAATGTTGCCTGAAAACTTGTTCTCCGACAAGTCCAAGTTTTCCAGCTTTTTATTACCAAAAACCTCCGGCAAGTCCCCGAAAAAATTGTTTCTTGCTAAATTTAACATTTGAAGCTCTGGCATATCCCATCTTCTATTGCCAATTGTGCCGGAGAGATTGTTGTTTGATACATCGAGGAAGTAAACAAGCGGTAGAGTGGTGAAATCGGGTGGCAATTCACCAAAGAGTTGGTTGTTTTGAAGCCGTACTCGCTTTAAGCTTTTACAGTGACTCAAACTCTTTGGAATTTCACCTTCAAGGGAATTGGAGAAGAGTATGAGCTTGAAAAGAATACCAGATTCACAAAGGCTTTGAGGGATTTTTCCGGTGAGGGTATTGGTGGAAAGGTCTAAAAGAGTGAGATTGTTTTGTTTTCCAAGGTTTTGTGGTATTTCACCCGAAAATTTATTAGACCATAGTTGAAGGACTCGAAGGCGAGGCAAAGAAGACAAAGCATTTGGAATTTTTCCGGTGAAATTGTTGGAAAACAGGTGAAAAACTTCCAAGTTTTGTAATTGAATTAGGATTTCAGGAATTTCTCCAGATAGAAAATTATCGCTTAAATCAAGCGATATTAATTTTTTTAGAACAAAAATGGACCGAGGAATGGGACCGGTGAGCTTGTTTAGGTAGAGGAAGAGGTACTGAAGATCAGTGAGATTTCCAAGTGAAGATGGAATTTCGCCAGTGAGATTGTTACTGACAAGATCAAGATGATTCAATGAAGCTAATTCTCCGATCTCGACCGGAATTCCGCCTGAGAGATTGTTGTATCCCAAGTAAATCCACTTCAAGCTCTTCATTAGGCCTAATTCGCCCGGAATTTTGCCAATTAATTGGTTTGAAGCCAAAGTCAAGAATTGCAAACCTGTCAAATTTGATATAGACTTTGGAATTGTACCAACCAAAACATTTCCACCTAGATCAAGATATTCAAGACCCGAAAACAATCCAATTTCCTCAGGAAATTTACCCGAAAGCATGTTGTTCGATAGATCAAACACTTGAAGCCACGGATTTGAGCCTTTTATAAGAAGCTGACCCGTGAAATTATTGTTGCTAAGATTGAGAAATCGAAGCGACAAACAAGAAGAAACATTGATGATTGGAATTTCACCGACGAGCTGATTATTCGAAAGATCAATGGTTTCGATATAGGGGAAATGGAAAATTGATTCCGGAAATTTCCCAGATAAGTTCTTCCCGGAGAGCTCAATTTTGGTGACATGAGTTGAATTGTCACAGACAATACCTTTCCATTGGCAAAAGGAGATAGAAAGGTTCCAGTTGGAGAAGGACTGTAACGGATCGTGAATCGAGCTTTTGATGGAAAGCAAGAGTTCAAATTCACTGGCACTGCATGTGCATGAGATAAAGATCAAGAACATGAACATAAGTGAAAACCCACATGTTTTAGCTCCATCTTCAGCCATTGGTAACCGAAGAAAGATCTCTATGTATGTATATATATATAGCCGCCACCAACAAGGAAAAGTTCAAGATAGATGAAAACCCATGAAGATTTTCTGCTAATTGATATGATCCACCACCAAGAAACCAAGCTTGAAGATTGATAGAAACTCAAGAAGACTTTATGTATTAAAGATCTTTAGTACTATCACACTTTGGATCTGAAGCTGAAAAAAGAAAGTGCAGAAACAAAGCAAACAACTTTGTAAGCACTGTTTTCTATATAGAATTACTTTGTGCGATATGAAGATGCACTTCATCAAACCAACTAAAAAAGAAAGAAAAATAAAATGAAAACAAAGCTTGGTTTGATCAAGAGAGTTCAATGGCCTTACAGCTTTTGCATCAGTAAAATCATTAATCCGGAAGAATTTACATCCTGCAATAACAAAGTTTCAGAATTATGTCAGAAAAAGCACAATTTAGACAAAGATATATATACAAACAGATTTTACATGTTTTTGTGCGCTTGGGATTATAACATACCCATCAACAAAAAAAAAGAAGCAAGAAAAAAGAAATTATATATACAAATTTTTTTCATTGACAAAATAAAATTTTTAATGATGAATAATACAATATTACAAGCAGTACAAGGTAAATTCTTTTTGTAATGTATACCAAAATGTCTTACAATTTTGATAATAATGAAGGGTTGGTTGCATAAGAGAACAAAACTTGGAAGAGAAGAAGTGAAGAGAGGGTTTTGAAGTGATGAAGCTTTGATAGAGAGAGAGTGAGAATTTGAGTGTATAAATAGTAATTAGGGATTTAGAATTGTTATCTATGTCTAAAAATTAAATTTACTTTTTAAGTCTAATATAATTAATTATGATAGTTAAAGTAATACTTTATTTTATATATATATATATATATATTTTTCTATTTATCAATTAATTACATTATTTATAAAGTTGGATATCATTTAGTCTAGAAAAGATTTATAAGGTGAGCTTGTATATCATTTAATTACCATTTTAACGGAGGGGAAGTGGACAGGGAATTGAGGTGTGATTACGAAATTGCACCTTGACTCGTGTTTGAACACCAACGGTTGATTCAAAAGGGGGGTAAGGCAGGGACAGATGTCGGGAAAAAAGTCCCAAAAATGTTCTTTTTTGACTGAGTTTGTTTGGATAGTAACAAAGGATTTCAGTAACCGTTGAAAAGTTTCAAAAAAAAAGTGTGCGAGGCTCGTGGGGTTGATGACCTTGGCTTTTGTACTTATTTACAAGGCGACGCCAATCCCAAAATGAACTCTGCTTTTTTTTCATTTTTGTCATGTTATGGGAGTCTAAATAGGAATTTCACATTTAATTCCCACGTATGTCATTTTACTAACATCATTTTATCTCTAAAATAAGTGCGATTTTCTTTCTTACCACCACCACTTCCGCTTGAAACCTTAGTCCTTTCGCTCCCAACCCTTCCTAACCCTCTTGTACAGAAGAGGAATATTCGCTCCACTCTGTACCTTCTTACTTTCAAGCGCATTGCACTTCATAAAAATTTCGTTGTACTGTAAACAAAACAAAGGTGAGCTATGCGACAGGTGGGTTTGTCGAAAAATTTCTCCGACAGTCAAATTAGCTTGCTAGGAGAAGAGAGAAGGCAGAGAACACTGTAGAGAGAGAGTTACACAAAGTTGCTTACCTCTAACGCCTGCATGCTCTTCTCTTTCAAGGCTGGCCATATAGTCTCAGAAATTGTGGGCGCACTACCTTTGATGTTCTTCTCTGGACAGGCAGTTGTGCTCCCCTCTATGTCTTTTACGCGTGTAGAGACCAAAACCCCCAAATAGTATTTGTCGCACCGCCAAACAGTATTGACGCATACCAGGAGTGGATTCCTCTCTTCTCTTTATTGGTCCGTGTGGAATACCCGACCGGGTTATTACTTGTGAACCACCAACATTATGTTGACCCACTTGGTGACGGGCTAAATTAGACCGGTCAATTGAAAGTAGTATGCTCGGTCAAAGTCTTGACCGTGTCACCTGGAGTGCGGTTCATTATCTCAGCTACACATCGCAATCCCACAGACTATCTCTGTCTTAGCGATTGTATCTCGAACCATCTATAGCTCGGCGATCGCGTGGTCCTGTTACCTAAAACTACAAAGCCGGGGCTACTTTGCCCTCCTGCACGAGTCAATTCGGTCGAGTTTAACTGGCCGCGGTATTTCGTAAGGGTCCAGCTCGACCTAGCACCATACTCCGTATGGGCTCAGCTCGGCCCAAGACACCCAAAATAACCTTAGTACGGCCCAACACCACATTTCGTGCAAACCCAATTCGGCCAATTCTCGGTATAAGCTCACCTCACAATTGCCTCTTAATCCCATCTGAGCTGATCATGAGTGGGATTACTTTCTCCAATCGAGCTATCTGTTTCGGCCGGTCGTAGAGACTCGTGCCTGTTGTCTTATCATCAACCAATTGGCCGTACTGACATCTCGTTTTTTCGATGCCACGTGGCCTCCTTTGATTGGTTCTGTGCAACCCTACAGCTATCCCCACTATCTCTGAAATTTGAAAAGTTAGCGCCACTTCATTATCACCTATATACATGAAAGGTTAGATCTCAAACCCCATCACTGTTCATCTCTTCGACGCAAAACCCTAAACCCTTGAGTTTCTGCCACCTTCACTGTCGCCATCGTCACTCCCGCTTGCACCATTTCCAGTGTTCTTCATCCTCACAAATATCGCAGCGGAGTTAAGGTCGATTGGAACTCGATTTGGCCCCTAAATTCGTAAGTTCTTCCTGTTTTCATCTTTTTTCCGTTGTTGTTCTTTATGTTCTTCGAATCTTTCTCTATTTGGGACTGTAGATATATTGTTTATGCCCTTTTCATGGGATTAAACTGATAGACATCTGTGGAAATTAGGCAAAATTGGAACCAAAAACACGAATGGGGCCATCGTGCCCTTCATTTCCCTTAGTTTCAGTATATAGTCTTCAGTTTATGATAAACAGCTCAACTTTTAGGCAAAACTGAGCTAAATCCCAATTTTAGATCTAAAATAGGATTGAACCGATCTGAAATTAGTTTGTGGTCCCTCCAAACGACTGTGACCGCGCTAGAAGCTTATAGGGAACATCCAGCCGAGATAAGCACCAAGTGATTAAGATGAAGGCCCTGAACCGGCCTAATATCTTAGGCTTCACCACCGAGCTAAAATGAAAGCTAAGTTAACACTTAAGAGAGCAAAATTTTTGTCGAGCTAGGCATATTTTAAGAGCCATACATTTGTTGTTGTGCTAACACTTGCCCTTATTTTTTAATAATGCAGAACGAACTAGGCCCGACTAGGCACATTCAACATCACAGTTGGTGAGGCTCAAAGACCGAATAAACAATCACCAGAGTCACCCAATTTTGACCGAGCTACTATCAAATTTATCATCCAAAATAAAATCGGGGTAAATGGTAAAATACCAGTTTATGGTTAGTTCGCCTGGGACAATGGCCGAGTTCCGTAGAGAATATAACATTTCAGATGATGTCCACCTGGAGCTGGCTAAGAAAAGAGACACTTTATGGGACAAATTGAACGCTTGCCCCTTCATGGTCATATTCATTGTGGAAAGTGGTCTACGCTTTTCGGTCTAACCCTTGGTTTACGAATTTTTGAGGCAAACTAGATTGTGTCTAACCCAAGTGTCCAACAACACTTATAAGATTATAAATGGCGTGGCTACGCTAAATCGGATCCTCAGTTTGAGCCTCGGCCTCGCCGAGATATTCCATCAATATACATTTAGCAAAAATAAAAGCAACTTTTATTGGTACCTCAAAGTTAGGAAAAGCTGAGCAAAACTTATTGAGGGTAACCCGAACAAAGAATTAAACGACGACGACTTTCCATGGGTGTCAAGCAATTATGAGGACACCGAAGCGCCCATACCAGGCTGGTATTGTAACAATCCTGATCTATGATTAACGTATAATTCATGATTAAGAAGGCTTAATAAGTAATTAAAGTGAAATTTTGCATTAATTGCCTGTGTATTGCATTATTTGTATTTAAATCTATTTATCGTAGAAAGATCTGCTCATGTTTATGTTTGTTCTGTGAATTGAAGGCCTAATCGGCATCTGATCACGAAATTGACTTCGGTTATGTGCTATTTAGAATTTTTAGAATTTTATGGTAGGTCCAATTGAAATTCGATTCGGAGCGATTAAATTAGACTAATTGGATGCCCACTTGATTAGCCTTAATCAACCATCATTAGGCAAGCCTATATAAGGCCAAGAATGACTCAAGAATATTATATACACACTCATTTCCTCATCTCTTTAACCTACTAACGTGAAAGAGAGAGAGAGAAAGAAAGAGAGAGAAGTGATCGACAAGGGAATTGCTAGAGAGCTTGGAGGTTTTGGCTTAGGACTTCAAACAATTAATCATCTAAGGTAAGAATTGAAGCGCCCATACCAGGCTGGTATTGTAACAATCCTGACCTATGATTAACGTATAATTCATGATTAAGAAGGCTTAATAAGTAATTAAAGTGAAATTTTGCATTAATTGCCTGTCTATTGCATTATTTGTATTTAAATCTATTTATCGTAGAAAGATCTGCTCATGTTTATGTTTGTTCTGTGAATTGAAGGCCTTATTGGCATCTGATCACGAAATTGACTTCGGTTATGTGTTATTTAGAATTTTTAAAATTTTATGGTAGGTCCAATTGAAATTCGATTCGGAGCGATTAAATTAGACTAATTGGATGCCCACTTGATTAGCCTTAATCAACCATCATTAGGCAAGCCTATATAAGGCCAAGAATGACTCATGAATATTATATACACACTCATTTCCTCATCTCTTTAACCTACTAACGTGAAAGAGAGAGAGAGAGAGAGAAGTGATCGACAAGGGAATTACTAGAGAGCTTGGAGGTTTTGGCTTGGGACTTCAAACAATTAATCATCTAAGGTAAGAATTTAACCTTCTAGTTTTGGGATTGAGTCACTTAGCATATGAGTTTAAAGAATTAAGTTATGTAATGCTAGAATTGAGCTAAAATGAAGGAATTTATATTGTACCATGCATGCATGTCTATATCATGGCATCTTAAGGAAGTTTTCAAAGAATTCTCCCATGCATGCTATCATTCTACCTTAGTTTTGAGAATTCATCTTGTTTTCCATCAATTTGTCTCATTTGATCATGTTTTGAAAGTTTTAAACATGCACCTTTACATGCATGATATGTAATGTTATGTTTTCAAATATTTGGGTTTTGTTTTGGACAATTGACAAGCTTTTGGGCCTTGATTTTGTAAAATGATTTTGAATTCACCATGGTTTCACCATTTACAAGTGTTTCTTATAGTTTCCTCAAGTTTTTGGCCCAAAAGACCATGTTTTACAACTTTGAATTTGAATTTTGAGCTGAGAAGAGCAATTTGGAAATTTCAAAATTCTGTTTTCTGCTCAAGCGGCAGAATCTAAGCTCGAGCGACCATTCTGTGATCTTACATTTTCACTCGAGCGACCAGAAATCTGTTCTAGCGTGAAATGAAAGCTCCCAGAAGTTTCATGTTTTTGCAGACCGCTCGAGCGTGAATAGTTGCGCTTGAGCGAAGACCTAAGTCTCACGTTCGAGCGACCCTCGAGCGTGAAAATCACACAACTACTATTTTTTTGAAGTTTGCAGACCGCTCGAGCAAAGAAAATTTCACTCGAGCAACCCCTCACATGTTTACATGTCCGCTTGAGTGAAGGAAGTTATGCT